TTCGTGTGGAGAACCGAAACCATGGTCTTGCCTGATCACAAACTGTGGCAATAACAAAACAGTTTAAGGACTGTTAAGCTTACTCAAAGCTATTACCAAGAGAGGAACTACGCGCTCCAGTCAAAAGACTCACAGTATCTTTAGAAAACAGCAAGCTGGAGTTTACTGAGTCACAATTCAATTCTCCATAGTAAATTTATGTAGCTTCAGTTTAGGCGGCAGTTCACTCTTATAATTTTGGATCTGTAAGTCACTATCCGTGATAATTCTGATAATTTAACATTCTGCAAAGAAAACTGACGAGCTGAGCCCAGCGTGATACAGCATTGCAGAAAAACATTACACTCACGGACTAAAAAAAATCTCTTAGTTATTCAGATCCAGAAGGCACTTTGGAGAAAATTGGAACCCTTTTCAGCCGCAATAAAAAAAGCTATACGCTTCAAAAGAGGTCAAAGAAAATGCGCTTGCATCAGAGGGCAAATCCTGCCGACCAGAAAACAATAACTACAGTCAATCGATATGTATGTCATGACCTCTCGGTGTGAAACATGCGGCTAAAATCACATTTGCTCTGTATAAATGCAGAACCTTCCAGAGCATAATCTACCCAGCAGATAAAAACAATTTTACTGGAATAAGCAGCATTTTGGCATGAGGTAAAAGTCGTGTAGGCCTACCACCCCCTTTCATTGGAAATCAATCATGCTGATGCACAGACCTCAAACACCTCAACCAGGCTTTGGTTCTGTTACATTACTACAAAAATTCACCCCCCATTTCAAAATCCTAGATCCGCGCCTGAAAGGTTGGAAGCCCTGAAGATGAATTTCTGAAATAAGCTGGGCTCTTTTATTACATAGAAAATATCAGCAAGTCCACAGCAACAAATAAACCAATGAGTTGTGCCGCATCTCCCAGTTGCACAATTAAACTTTTAGAAAAATATGAAACGGCAAACTGATCCTTACAGCCAGGCGATGAAGTAGTAAACAAAAGAATAAAACAAAAAATATATATTGAAACAAATTGCCCAATATTTCGGTTTGAAAACAAAGCTTCTTCAGGGGCTAAAAGAAAAATGAAAATAAAACTAAAAGTTCGTTACTGACCAGCTTCAGTCCATGCAAAAAGATGCTTCCGGCTTACTGACCTCTCCCTTTGCTTTGGGCAAAAATATACATTGTTTTTCTCTCTGAGTGTCTCACGCTTCCCATCTGCTCCCAAAACCAGTCTGAGAGCCCCTAATACTTGTCTAGACTACCATACCACCCCGTCCGGGGAATCTATAGCAACCTCGTCCCAAGGGTGCTTTTCCCTGGCTTTGGCCCCACCTCTAAAGCCAGGGAAAAGCGTCTTGGGGACGAGGTTGGTTCTATAGCCGATTGGGCCATTAGCCCCCTGGTTATGCGTTTTCATCTCTTATATCCTTTTTCTCTTTTTTTCTTTTCTTTCTTTCTTTCTTTCTTTCTTTCTTTTCTTTCTTTCTTTCTTTCTTTCTTTTGTTTTGAGCGCCATTTTTAAATCTCGAGAGTGAGAGAGGAGCAAAGGCTCATTTCCCGATTGGCGGCTGCCAATCGATAGGATGTACGCTAGTTCAGGGGTAGTTTGTCGCGCCTTTACTCACGACCCAACTTATCGTGGATGAAATGTGACGGGTTATAAGAATATACGGATACTAAAGACGACTTTAACTCAATCACACCCTGTCCAAACCCAGCTCCTTTGTACGTTTTTCGCGCGATCATGAACCGCCTACTCATGAACGCGGCACGCGAGGGACCTTACCGCATGATTCACCCGCATTCTTTGCACACTCCAAAAAGAAGTACAAAGGTCCATCCAGGTACGATGGAGAAACGTGAGCTTCATTGCATAAAGTTTTACCAGGGCTCCTGGTTTTACTATTTTTCAAGAGAATAGTGCGTATTTTTGTTTTCGTGACTACAAGGCGTTAAGATTTCGTGACATCAGCTGATGTTCTGACTGACCAATTACAAGCTTTGTCAACTTGACATGAGTAAAATCAGAAGCCTAGCCTTCTTTCATTCTGGGTGGATCATACCATCACACATTTTACGAAGACTAACTTTACCAACCAACAGCAGATTTCGCTGGGATCCTCTGCATTTCACAAAATGGCTGCAAATTGTGGATGGCTGTGGTCGTTCATCTGGCTAATAATTCTCCTCTGCCTAGCCTGGCCTCTTGGTATATTAGCGGCTGTACTCTACGCGATCTTTTCACCTTTCGCCGCTTGCTGCAAGCCTTGTACTGATTTTACTAACTTTCTTATGGAACATGGAGTGAAACTGCCTTATACTGCCGCATCTAATATGGTAAACGGTCGCTCTGGGTGTTAAACATCCATGTGAACGCTGAACAACTCGAGTGAGTACGTCTAGACTGTTTACCTGAACTGCTCCAAATGATTACTGTACGTGTTTGTAGATGTCTTGAAGAAAGATGAGATGTTCACTTGTGAGAACTCTTACCAAACTGAATTGTGAGAAACGTCGTCGAGGAAAGCAAGATTTAGCTTTGTAATCGTTCACACACGCCCTAGATTATAGACTCACTATATCTACTAGTAGTTTCGAGAATGCTTTTATTTGTCAGTTATGTGGAATTCACGGATGCCTTTGTTTCTCTTACCGTCAATAAATTGCTCTTGGTGGTGAAACAATTGTTCTGTGGTCTCGGTGGGTAGATCTTCGATTGTGTGGGTATGAGACGCTGTGAAGTTATATATAGTATGAATAAATAAGCGAAGTGTGGCTGAAGTCTTTGGTTTTGTCTGGCAGACAATTGGCTTGCTGATCACCGACTCATAAAAGCGAAAGGGACCATGTGTATTTAAGGCATCTGTCGACCGATGCTCGGTCGACATATCTATCAAAAGTATCGAACGAGAGTCGGTCAGTATTTGGTCAATACTTGGTTGCTATATCGGTCAATGTCGGTGGAACATCGGCTGTAATTGGCCTCTGTCAACCAACAGGCATGTTGGGCGATAGTCGATCACTAGTTTGTCGATAAGCTACAGACCCTCGATCGATACTCAGTTGACTGGGTGTTTTCTACATATCGCCCTACAGTCAGTCGGTACATCGGCCGACAATCAACTTTCAGTCGGGCAACTCTTGGTCATTATGTCAATACTCAGTTGATCATTGGTCAGTACATCCTGCAAACTGAGGTCGGTCTTTGACCCAACGTCAGTTGCTCACACCCAGCATGGTTAAACCAAGTACGTAAGTCAAACCGAGGACAGGTTTTGACGCGAGGATGGCTCCCTACAAACTGAACAAACTGAGTACGGTTAACCGAGTATGTAAGTCAAACCAAGGACGGTTTTTGATCCGATGACAGTTTGTTGAAACCAAGGTCGGTTGCTCAGAACAATCTATTGATCCAGACTAACAAAATATTGATCGACATATCATGTCATATTGACATATCGACTGGCATATCCTATCCTATCATACTGACATATCGACCAACATATCAACTGATTTGTTGGCCAAATAATGACAGAGTGTCGGCCGATGTATCGACTGACTCTCGGCCGATACTGTTGGCCGATATGTGTGACAGTCGATAGTCCACTTATATGCCCCCGACTGTTGACTGCGACATAATGATTGATGTGTTGGCAGGTCATCGACCAAGATATCAACCAAGTGGTGACTGATAGTGGCTACTGCAGGTCAAAAGGTGTTGACCAACATGTCAATGGAGTGTCGACCAACTCTCGACCAACTGTCGATCAATATGTCGACCGAGTGACAGTCGATAGTTCACCAAGAGATACCTTAAAATAATACACATGGTCATCTTGTAATATTATTGTCTATTGTAATTGACGGTGCAGATCAAGCTGGAGTTTGGAGACTGCCTTAACCATTGACTGGACCCTTGGATCTGTTGTCAGGCGAAATCAGTCTGGAAGAAAAAGTTAGTTATTTACTTCCTCTACCCCTTTTGAGGCCAAGCTTATACAAATTCTTGTAACAAGTATTAAAGAGGAAACACTGATCAGCAATATATAAAATGCTGCTTTTAAAAATTCTCAGTTTCCTAATCCTGACCCCCAAACTTCAGAGTCTTTAAGTGTCTGGTACTGTTAGCATTTTGCAAAAATACCCCTATTGGTAAAAGACACATCACAGATAAGTTTTATCCTGTTAAATGTCATAATTAACGTCTTCAACACTTACTTCCAATAAAAAAGTGCAAATTTCTTAAGGTGATAATTGTGTCAGCACAACCCCAAAAGGTACTTCCTCAATGTGTATCCTAAATGCTCACACAGGAGGATCAGTGGTAGCGAGTTCATTCCTTTGACTGAAGGTAAAACACTCAAAATTGGAGGGTGTCTCTTACTAGAGAGTATCATGGTGATGTCTGAAAGAGGCAGTCTCTTTCAAAATGAAGTTTGGCAATTGATGGCCATATGGTATTTTAAAGAAGCTTAAAATTAATACCCTCAGAGACTACAACCTAAAACTAACAGTCCTGAACAATTATGTATACATTAAACTAGTTGACAATTTTCCATGGCCATGCTTCATTGACCATAGAAATGACACTGATCAAAATATTCAAAACACTCAACAGTGGTTCCACTGCAAAGTTTTGAATGTTAACCAGTATAGACCATGGAAAATTTAGTGAGAATATTAGGTGTAGCCTACATATTTTTTGGGCAGGGAAAGCTGCTTCATGTTTGAAATGCCGTAGTTGCTATCCGTGATTTTATTGCTGAGAATTTTTGGGGAAAGTTTGAAACCCTTTGGAGGCATTAGTGCTGAAGAAGAAGGTGGGGTAGGGAGAAGCAGGGGGATATCATTGCTTAATATTAGGGACACTCAGTAGGCTGGTAAATGGAGTCTCTGATTGGTGCAGAACGGCACTAATAGATTGATAACTGCCAGTTCATTATGAGATGATCTCTTTTGTTTGAGACTTATCTTAATGACATACAGAAGCTGTGTAACTTTCCATTTTGCTGTTGAGAACTCTTAAGTTTGATGAATGTGGTTTGTACCATGAGCTGAAGAGGCCAGCAAAAGCATATTTCTATGATCTCTTGGAAAAAATCTGCTAACAGTCTATTTATGTTTGTGATTTTTTTCCTCCTAAATGATTTGGGGGAAATTCTGATAAGAAATGCTTTATGAGAAGTCATCATCAACAATGTGATATTTTTTAACGAAGCAAGGAGGGTTTCCTTCATTAAAAAACTATCCCAGCAAAAATAGCATTTCAGGTACCAACAATTAGGAGATAGCAAGAGACATTGAAATCTTTGTAGGGCCCAAATTTAATAGCTCCACAAAGCAATTCAAAAAAACATGCGAGAAATATTACATTTACAACAGCAGCCATGAGATTTACTATATTAATTTTTCAAACTCTATAAGCAGGGAGCATTTGACAATTTGATGACCTGCATGTCATTTTCCAGAAGTTAGAGCGGTAACCATCATCACCAATAAATATTAGGGAGTGCTTCTTATTTTCACAGTGTTTGTAGGCCAGCATTTTCTCTCCTCTTTCCCACACTCCGTTTCCCTTCCACTGTAAAGTCCCAACTTTGCCTCAACCTCGTTCCCAGGTTCTCTCTCCTACCTGTTGAATGGGTAGGAGAGAACCCTGGGAATAAGGTTGACTTTGACCCACCCCAACTCCTTGACTTTTTCAGTGGTTACGTGAGCAAAAATGTTTGCACATCCAAAGTATACATCTGCAAAGCAGGCTATTGAGTGTGTATTTTTTTCACTGGGCTCAGTTGGAATTGTAATTTAGTATTGTGATGAATTAGTATAGGTAATAGCATGATTCATGCTAAATATCACGTACAAATCATGCTATTATTTGTTTATACTACTAAGTATTTCAAATTAAGCTGAAATACCACTGCTCTAAGCCAATCAAATTGCAGAAATTTCTCATGTAGTAGTATAATCATATTTATTTGCTGATTTAATGCCGCCTTTGGATAAATGCCACCCTCGAATAAACACCGCATCACACTTCAGCATTTATTCCAATAATAGACTCAAAAAGCAAATGCAGTAATATCAAGTTTGAGCAAGCCTAAAAAATATTTTCCTTGATTGTAACAATGTTTTAGGATCAATATATTCGAAGCTCAAAGGAATATAATCAAAACACGAGAACAGTATACAGTAGTTCAGCTTAATCAAGCTTTGAAAAGTTGCTTACATTGCATGATAACAATGTTTTTCAGTTTGAAGTGAAATTGAAATGTTCAGTTACCATACTGTTGTTTGTAAAAAATAAATTGAATTTTAAATAAAAGCCGCCGTCTTATAAACGCTGCACTCAAATCGAGGAAAATTTAATGAACACCACAGCATTTAATCGAATGAATACAGATTAGTCAAAATGGACAATGATTACAGTTTGAAACTAAGCCTTTTCGTAAAAGATACTCGAGAAATATGTGTGTTTACCTTTGGTTACTCAATATTGCAAAATATTATCATCCTCACCACCCACTAACCAGCAGAAAGTGTAAGTATTTTAGACACTGCAGAAGTTTTTTGAAAGAAGAGCAAGGTAGAAAATACAAAATTCAGCAATGACTGATTCGCTACACCCAGTCAGACCATTGATGACAAATGATGGGGAAACGAACTTTGCAAATAAATTGACAAACACCTTGGGGGTTAGTGGGGACATCAAGAACAGACGGATACACTATAGTCTAGAGAGGCTGACCCAGCTTGTACTGAAATTAAAGGAAATGGCTTAAGAACACCTGGGAGTAACTCTGGGTGCCTGTCTTAGAGAGGCTTATGTTCAGAGGCGTTCGACGGATTAAGGTTTTTTCACCCTAAACAGTTTACCATGTCCAGGTACTATCCAGTCTGCAATTTCCAGTACTTTTTGTCTACTCTTTCTGTGCTTTTCTGGGGATTCACTAAATTCTTCCCACAATTTATCATCCTCTTCATGTTCAAATAAATCTCCGCAGATAACAACAGTTCCATATTCCGTGCCTCTAACGATGACACTAACGTCCTGAGAGGTGTGGCCTGGAGTGGAAATCACCTGGACGTTTTCTCCATCAATGCAGTATGGCATTCCTTCTTTAAAGTTCTCGGGAAGGTCGGTGTAAATATCCTCTTCATTTAAAATATCATGAGACACCATGCACATAGCTTTTGGAAAAATATTAAGGTTGCCCACGTGGTCCACATGTCCGTGAGTGCAAACAACGAAGTCGACGTCTTGAGGAGAAACTTTGTGTTGCTCCAATTTTTCAAGAAGGCGTTCCTTATCTCGCGGACTTCCAGTGTCCACAATAATTCTTTTTCCGTTTCCAGTGATCATAGTGCATGTTCCATTAGCCCTGTATCTGTCTTTTTCGTCCGTATAACCATAACCATCGAGTAAAACTGAAACATTGTACAAAAACTCTTCTGGTTGTACTTCCGCCATCTTTAGCGAATCCGAGAAAGAGTGGTAACTATCACAAGCCGCTGATCAGCTGTTTGACAGGCGCAAGTTTTAAACAAAAAGAAATCAGCAAAAATCGCGACGAAAATATAACGACGAATACAGCGAGTACTACGTCAAAGACTTTCCTTTTTCAATCAAAAACGACCCTCCACCTTACAGTTGGTAAAAAGAAATGTCGGGTAGTGAGCAAGAAGGCAAAGCAGAGGCCAAAATGGTTTCCATTCCGCTGTCATCTGACGAAGAGACGCCAGGAGGTTAGTGCATGTAGTAGGCGAACTTAAGACTCGTAAGCTCTTATTAAGCACTTAATGCTAGTTGAAAACGGAATATCTTATGAATGGGATTCAACCCATTTCCTCCTCTCACAGTGGTGGGAAATCTTTTTTAATTATGGTATATAGATTCAAACCATTTTAGTGTCAAAGATGGCCAGAGTCAAATTCAATATGTCTGTATAATTTCCACACAGCCCAATAAACTCTCCAGTCTCATGCTATTCCAAAGAGCATAACTAATTGAACAATACTTGGTGGTTGTATTTTAGGTACAAGTGGTCATCATTCGAGCCTTCAGAGTTATAGTCATGCAGGAAGAGATATTAGTGTGCTCCAAAGTAAGATATAATTGTCTATTATAGATACATTGTACACTGTTGTATCAGGCCTTGGGAATACTATTTAAGGTGATTCCCTAGTAAAGAACCTAACATCGATTGTAGATGAAACTTGGTACACTGATGTAACAAGTCAAGAAGATGATAAAAAGGTAATAAAAAGTGGGGGTCACCGTGCTCGTTTTGACGTCACAATGCTGACAAATACGGCTATTTTGGACCCTTTGACAAAAACCACCCACAGCCCAAAACTAGACAAAAAGGAAAGATTTTTTCAATGATGCATGTGGTATCGCACAGAATTTGACTTTAATGTATTGTTTATCCACTTACGTACCAGAAAAATGCCTTTTAATGCCCTTGTTTTTACTTTACGCTCCTAAGTAGAATTAAATTGGACACGCGCTATTCGACACGTGGTAGCTCAATCTGTACAATTTAATAAAATTGCCGAAAAACTGAACATAGATTTGTGCCAATTTTTTTTTTCACTGAAAGGTAGCACTGCCCTTATTAAAATCATGAAATAAAAAATGAGGGTCACCGTACTCGTTTTTGCGGTAGAGCTGCAGAAAGTGCACACCAAATGCATTTTCCTTGATGTTTGAGAGAGGACTGGGGCGAGTTTCAAAATAGAATGTATGCGAAAGGGGGAAGAAAGTATTAAAAAATCTGTTTTTACAGAATTTACATCGAGATATCACATTTAGGACACAATGTGATAAAGAAAGCGTTTAAATGAAAATCAGAGTGAATAAGCACAAATTAAACATCCACTATTGAGGTTCTCCATGAGGAAGTCGAACTCAGCAACACGCATACTGCTTATGTTTTGCACATTCCCACCACATTGAGTCTCACCTCGGCAAGAAACAACCGCAAGCAAAAATTGCAATAGCGTTTCTCTTCTGTCAATTTCATTTTAATAATGTTACTTCACATGCTCTTTTTTACGGAGGCTATCTTGTTATGCGCAGTAAGAGATACGCAGTGCAAAACCAGGGAATCACCTTAAGTACCCCTCTTCTCTTCAGGGTAAAGGTATTGGCTACTAGACCATCAAAGGGTTTCATTCAGCATATGCTGCCAAATTATTTTTAGAGTGGAATATCTGCCCAGCTGGTTTTTGATGGTATTCAATGTCATGCCATCAAAAACTAAAATCAAAACTATTGGATGCCTGAAGCTACTGTTTTGACATGTTTATGGAATATTAATAAAATAATATATGACCTTGCCAAGTCTCAGGCAGGGTCTCAGGTCTGTGTGATTCTCCTCTGCTTAGTTATTCCTCAAAATGTGTGCAGAACTTTATAGGGCTTAAGATGGGTACGCCTTATTATTTTTGTGCTCTTCATTCTCGGAGGGGCACAAATATTGCGGCCGAAAGTTAGGCAAGTGACTGATGTTTACTGTAGTTTTGCCACAATTTTGTGCAGTTTTCCCCACCTAAACACTTTTTTTAAAAATTTCACTGTTCAGAAATGTCATTTTTACAAATGTGATGCTCCCTTATTTGCAGCTATTTTACTATTGTAAGGTGTCATGACAGTCACAAAAATGATATTAGTTGTTATAAAACGTACTGTTACAAAATAATGCGTCTACATGTAGGTGAAGTAACAGATGAGGAAAAGGATGAGGCAGATGAGAAAAACCGGCTCATCACACAAGTACTGGAACTTCAAAACACTTTAGATGGTGAGTAGTAAAATACAAAGCTAACTCTTACAGAATGTAATAGTAAATAACACACTGCAATATTTATTTAGGCTGTAGTCAATGATCTGTCTAGATATACCATTGACCTTAAAAAAGTGTGGACATGGACTGTGCAAGGAAAAAGAATAATATTGATTTAATTATTTTGCTAACCATCACATTATTTAATATTTAATTGCATTTACCTTGTCATAGACATTGATTTACAGTCATTTATTGCTCTGATATTTTTTGTTGAATTTATAGTACCTGCCTATTATCCCTAATTGCTATTTATTTATTTTGCCAAATGAGAATAATACATTATTTAAATCTATAAAAAAATGACAATCCAGCAAGGAGCATGGAAAAAACTAAGAAGTTCATAATGCTTGGGCTCTCTAGAAACGGAAAGGAAGAAGAACTATTAAATAAGTGGAGTGAAACAGAAATTGAAAGACAAGTTTATCCTAAACCTACAATAAAATAGATAAGATAAGTCTATTTCATAGCAGGTTTGTCATAAACAAAATTAATGTTACATTAATTTTCTTTTAGATTTGTCACAGCGGGTTGATGCTGTTAAAGATGAAAATCTTAAACTCAAATCAGAAAATCAGGTACTGAAAGCGCACGTTCCGACAACTTCGTTAAATTTTGTACCGATTCAGTGTTTTGAGTTCACCCTTTCTGGTGGTTATTTCAGAGATGCTCTATATGTCTACTCACCTCTTTCACTCATAAAAGAGTCAAAACCCAAAATTTATTAATGACTATACTTCATATACTGTATGATGAATAATATTTTATTGCAATTAATAATTCCTCGTTCCCAGGTTCTCTCTCTTACCCCTCTCTCTCTCTCTCTCTCTCTCTCTCTCTCTCTCTCTCTCTTGCTCCGTAGGGACGGGTAATAGAGAACCCTGGGATCAAGGTTGGAATAACAGATAAATAATTAACCCAGTACATGTAATGCAAAAGTGCTGCAAGATAGGTTTTCCATGATTAATGGTCCCATCACTGGATTTTGTAATGTGAAGGGGGCGGGGGGGCACATTTTATGTATTTGGTCCATTACTGACTCTGATATACAACTGTGAAAAAACGTTGTCACTTAAATTTATAAACCATCAACGATGAGGCTTCAAGAATTTATGGATATATATTCATTAGCACGGCAAATTTAAAGTTCTTTCAAAAACTGATTGCATTGTGACAAGCTGCTCATGCGGATGCAAATCCTTAGGGTACTTTGTTTAAGGCATGCTGTTGTCTTTTTGTGTCTTCCAAGAAAGCGTTTAGTGTGTATGAGCGTTAGCAAAATGGCTGCGCTCTTCAACTGTAGAGATCTCTGATGTGCCCTGCATACGTAAAGTTGAGAGCTTATCGCCAAGAAAACTGGAAACCATTTGATCTTTTTTGGAATCCATCATCATGAAAAGATTTAATAATTTTAACTTTTCTGGAGTGAACTTTGAATTTGCAATGCTGATAAAGTTATACCCATAAATCCATTTTGTCTTCATTCATGACCTATACTTTGCAAGCGATAGCTTTTCATTCAGGTGTATATATGGTTACATATTAATGAGAGTTTTAAAAGGTTTTGCTTTAATTAAAATTATTCCCCACTCCCCCTTAGAAAATATTATGTTATTTTTGTAGTAGAACCCTGAGATTGTCAATGTGCTTTTGAGTGAAAAAATGAAAGAATTTCGCATGAAACTGTCACTGTCAAGTGAAAATCAAGTCTCATTTCCATACAAAATAAGATGACTAAATCAAACACAAAGATCATATTGAAAGGTGGATGACTTATTTCTAAGTGGGTCTGAATGTCATATTAAGATGCCATTACAACTCAGCGAGTGTATGACAAGTGCTCGCTCATAAATCCATAACATTCAGATCCCATAAACATCTGTAAGTTAGGGCTTGTTACTCTCCATATTACATACCAGGGTATCCAAATAGCAAGCAATCTGTAAGGCAAGAATTGACTGTGCATTCAGCTATGAATTATATATTATGTGCTTCATACATGAAGTGTAGATTGATGGTCTACTTCCCAGAGTGTAGTCACAGCAATGGCTTTACATTACAGTGACAACTTGTACCTGATGAGCTAACATGATCTTTTGTACCTTGTTTAAATTTTAATATTCAAACTATTTGATGCATTTTGGTTAATATTATCGATCATTAGGTGCTTGGACAATACATAGAGAACCTGATGTCAGCTTCAAGTGTGTTTCAGCCAGCCAACCCTGATGGCAAGAAGAGGTGTGCACTGATCCATTTATACAGGCTTCTGAAACAACGTTTCCTATTAGAAATATATAGAGAAACTGTATAGATTGCCACATAATAGAACTTTCTGCTGGATAATGCAACCACCTGAAAATTCTGCATAATTTCCCTGTCAGAAGGCGTCAATTATAATAATAATCATAACTATAACAAAATTGTCAAATCTGATTGGCTATCAACTGCCCTGAATTCAGCCTTAATTGGACAGTTTAATAGGACAGTACGCGTCATGCCTAAGTAATTAATCAGAACGCGCCATCACGCGCGCGCTTATATGGCTTTTTTTTTTCACTACTAGCAAAACAAAATTTCGAATTTCTTGTGTTTTGATGTAAAAAATAGCCTATTATATTACAAATTTTGTTAAAATTATGATTAACTGGTAACAGAACTTCGTGTCGTCCAATTCGGTCTGTAATCATACTCGTGATTAAACAAATTGGACTCCCGCTACGCGGTCGTCCGATTTTGTTAATCACTCGCATTACTTATGCCACTGAAACTTGATGGACACTGTACAAGCATGTTTTAGGCTGTGTGGCTTTGACCAGTCCAATAGTAAGATGCTGACACAAAATTTTATGTAATGTTTTTTAATCTTGTGATTCTTGGGCCTAAATGTTTGAAAATTATTAGCACAAAATCCAGAGGTAGTTTTTGTTACTACCCTTGTGCTCTGTATAAAAAAAACCAGGGCTAAAGCTAACAAGCCAACTATAACAACTTCAGCGTGATTTTTAAAACCTTTCCTACTAACTTTATATTGCTTGAAAAAACCCCTTCACCATTGTTCTATACCCTGCCCCTCCCTCCCTCCCTGAGGTGTTGATATCTGCTGATGGTAATTGCGAGTTTCTTCCTTTATTTAGGTCAAGTCCTTCAAAGCCAGGAACAAAAAAGGGAGAGAAGAGATGACGAATTTTATGCAAAATAATTATTTACTTGTACACAACAACTGTACGTGCATGTATATATCACAAGATTCGTTGCAGTTGCTAATAAATGGTATTTGAATTTATACTTGAAAACTAGGATCTATCTTTTGTGTTTTGTCGAATGCCTATGCGTTTTAGTATTTCTATTCATATTTTCTTTGAAAAATAACACCTTGCAAAACAAATTCCATTTGGAGGACAAGAAGGAGCTCCCACCACATAACACCTAGCACAGGGTGAAGCGGAGAAGTGCTTTTAGAATCGTACTACAATTATAATTATGTTACTGTAAAATTATGTTTATGGCAGACCTTATAAACATTAATTGCTTGGAAAGTATTTTTTAGTTGCAAAATAAATATAAGATTTAAGGCATTTATAATGGTTATTACAAATAAAGAAGAGATTTCCAGTTGTCATTCTTCAAAGAATAAAGTATACAGTAAGTGTTTAGGACTTGTATCCTGCCTACAGACGTCTATGAAAACAGACAAACGGAGAGGATGACATTGGACAATTTTAAAAACTGATAACTAACCTATGGTCCTCTGAGTGTCCCTAACTAACTACACTCAAATCAATCAGATCAAATTGGAGTTTGAAAATGTCAGTTTTTTTAGGAGAGTTGAAAATTGAAGAAACCGATAAAAACCCTCACGCCGGAGACGCGACTGAGATCCAACATCAAACTCAACCCACCTACAGCATCGACGCTGCGACTCGAACCCAGGCCACATTGCTTAGAGGCGAGTGCTCTCACAGCTGCGCTATCCTTGCTCCTCATTCCCTTGTTTCACACGGGAAAGGCCGTGACGCCCACGAGGACCAAAGGAAGTTATGTGATGTCGACTTGCAAAAAGAGAAAGACGTCTGAGTACAGTAGTTATTCATGGAGTTGATCTTTTTTTGTTTTTGTTTTTTGTTATGTTTTGTTTTTGTTTTTTTTTTTTTCCACGAATGGCTCGAAAACTAAAAATGAATTACCCTGCAATTCAATATACTACATCTGCTCCGTTTCAAGACTATAAGTAAGGACTTTCCTCTCAATCAATCTCAGCTAATCTTGCTTGCCGTTGCCTTAGGATTTTGGCAGATATTGTCGTGCACACTATAGTCATATTACTCCTCAATTTTCGCTCTCACTAAGTTTGGACAACCCTGTCTTTTCCTGATCAATTTGATCTGTTCAGAACATTTTATCTTATAGCACTTTTAGGACCAAGGGGTCGTGAGGTGATAGACATTTGTAAGATCGTTTGGTGTACTTTTTGGTAGCTAACTTAGCCCTCGCGAGAACGTGGCTCGTGATTT